ATTTTATTAAAATAGTTTAGTAAACTAGTGGTGCATGGCATCGTGCCTTAAGGTAAATTGTTGGAACCTACCGTTCCGAAAATTAAATTTTTTAAAAAAGTTTCTTTTTAACAAAAAAGAAAAAATCTAGAATTTTGATAATATTGAAATTTTTGAAAAAAAATTACTTTTTTGAAAAAAACAGATTTTTTTTATTTAGAAATAATTTGGAAATTTTGGATTTTTTAATTTTTTTCAAGGCAATAATAACACACTATAGGCGGGCCCCGTAAAAATACTCGTCAGACCAAACTGATATGTGTAGCGGGCAAATCGCTTGCTCGACACGAGTGCTCTTTCCGTCGCCTCGCATGAACACAACTGGCTGTCACATTGAACATATTTTTTTATAACTCTTTTTTTTTAAAAAAAAACGTCTGGTTGTTTTGAACTATAAAAAAATTATTTGATTTATGCATAATTAAACATAAAACTAACAAAAACTAGTGGCATATGGCATCGTGCGTTAAGGCAAATTGCTGAATCTTCCTGTACCATATCAAAATGTTCGAGGAATATTGAGTATTGAATGAAATTTTTTTTTCTAAAGCAATTGTTATGTCAACACAATCAGAATGTTTTTGAATCATTCAATTCGGATGCTTATTTCTCTCAAAAACTGCCATTTTGTGTACATTTAGCTCCGTATCTTTGAAATGGCTGAACCTGTCTTTGGCAAAAACTTATCACCACTTCTCCCAATCATTACTAATTTAATGTTTTTTAGATCATTTTAGATCAAATCGGATGCTCCGTTTTCTCAAAAACTCGATTTCTATTTTCTGCACTTTTTGCTCTGTATCTCCGTAACGGCTGGACCTGCGATTGCCAAAAACTAATGAGCACATCTCCCTATCAATAGGAATCGAATGTTTTTTGAACTATTCAAATCGTTTGATCCGTGCGCCCGAAAACGTGAACGAAAAAATGCGGCCACCAAAAACACACGCACACACACAGACACATCCATTTCTTCTGAGGTATGCCAAAATGTTCAGAAACCTAAAAACCGTAGAAAAATGGAATAATTTTCATTCTTGATTTTCCGCCCATTACTATATATAGGTTAGTTATAACTAACCTACGGAAAGTTAACAATTTAACGTACAGCAAATATACAAAACCACTTTTTACATACATGAAATTTATGGAAAAAATCACCCCTTATGAAGAGGTGCTGGGACGCGAATAGCAAAAATAGCTGACCACTTCAATTAAACTATTTGGTTTCAAAACAACGCAACTTTGACCTAAAAATGATTCGGAGGATTGTCAAATTCTGACCACTCCACTTCTTCATTGTCATTATTTCCAGAATCTCTAGAAATAATTGGCAAAACCTTACGTCTTCTAGGATGAAAAAAAATTTCATCCACATACACTACCAAAATCAGTAATATCAAAATCACTTCCAATTTGTGATAAATTATTGGCGCAAACTTTACTATCGCTATCCGATGCTATTATTTCATTATTGCAAATAACAATGTAAACAAGAGTTGAACTATACAAATCTGACTAATAACTAAAATATTTGATAAAATATATATTGAACACCTTTTTATTGCTGTAAATTCTGCATATTTATCTACAAAACAAATTGCGAGTAGCTTGAATGAAAAGAAACTTGAAGAAAAAACATATTGTTTCTGATCCTTATTTTTATTCTAAAAGCCTTTCAATACGTAAATCAATTGAATCTAGAGAAATGTATCAGGTATTCTTTCAATATCATATGCAAACCGATCAGATAAAAGTATTTTGACTCGCTTTTCAAGTTAGTCTATTCAAAGCGTAATAATACCTTGCCCGCCGATAAGCAACAATCCTCGCAGAGCGTAATTTTACGGGGCCCGCCTATAGTGTGATAATAATAATTGAAATGATACATCAGCAATAATAATTATTGCTAATTTTATTAATTTTATATACACTTTTATATCACAACATTAACAATTATTTTTATTTACTTTACGATCAAAATTCGAAACTAATAACATACATATATTTCATAATTATACATAAATATCTTCATATTTTCACTAATCATAATTTATACAATTCGAAAAAAAATATCACATTCTTGAGTGACTAAAATAGATATCTTTCTATTGAAAAAACACAAAAATCATTATAAACAAATTTTAATCCTAATTTAAAAAAATATATTACATTCTATAAATAACTAAAATAATAAAATAAATGCCGAAATAACGAAGCGCGTAAGCGCTGCGTCGCAGTCTAATGTTAGCGGAACCCAAAGAAATGTAAACAAAATTTATACTTATTAAAAGTATCTGAAGTTTAGATGTGTAGTTTAAATTGTGCATATGTTTAATGATCATTATTGACCGCTATTTGGCATTTGTTTACTTGTTTTTACTCGATCTCCGAAATCGCTAGACCTGCCTCTTCAAAAATGATCAATTTTTTCTTTTGTCAATACAAGTAAAATGTTTTTTGAATTATTGAAATCGAACGCTCAGTTCTCTTAAAAACTCATTTACCATTTTTGGCATTTTTTGCCCCCGTATCTTCGAAACGACTGGACCTACCTTTTCCAAAAACTAATCAGCACGTCTACTCATTAATAGGAATAGAATGTTTTTTGAATCATTCAAACCGAACGACGAAAATTGGTATCTGAACACACACATACACACATACATCAATTTTTTCTAATGTATGCCAAAATGTTCAGAAACCTCTAAAACGTAAAGATATATAAAAATTTTCATCTTCAATTTTTTGCGATTACTATAACTAACCCTACGGAAAGTCAATTCTTGTTGATTAAGTTGATTTTACGAACCGAGAAGATCATGCAACTTGTCTTGAGGCAAAATACCACTTTCAACTAGCTACCAATTTTGGTTGGACATTAAATAGTAGAAAAAATTGAACTTTTTTTTTACATATTTTGATAAATCATTTACTAGACGAATGCGAGTCTGATGACGATTCCGAGGAAGAAATCGGCGATGATGCTTATGACTCTGACGATTTTCGGTCTTATGGCGAACTTAGATCCCATCATCACAAAAAAACGAAAGAAATTCCAAAATACTATCACGTTCCTGTATACGAGAAAGTCAAATTACCAATTCCTCATCCAGTTCCTGTACCTGTGCCAACTTACCTAAAAGTCCCTATTCCACAACCTTATCCCGTACACGTAAAAGTCGAACAACCCATTGAAGTACCATATTATAAGGTAAGAAATATCATAAAATACCATAAGTGATAAATTTAAATTTCTTTTACCAAGTTGATTGATTTCTTGTTAAATTTCAGGTGGTGCCAGAGATTATTGAGAAGAAGGTTCCGTACACGGTTGAAAAGAAGGAGCCATTCACCGTAGAAAAACACTATCCAGTCCATGTCGAGAAGAAACTAGAAATAAAGGTTCCCAAACCTTACCATGTGCCTTACACCATTTACAAGCATGTTTTAGTTCATCACAGCAAAAAAGGTGGCAAGAAATCTAAAAAGAGTATCTATTAAAATAGGTGAAAAAATACAAAAATTTGTTATTTAGTTTTAATTTAAGACGATGGAATTATGATCTTCCAAATATGTATACTGACGTTGGGTAGAAAGATGATGTCAGGATAATACATAAATAAAATTAAAATGAATTTTATTTATACATACTTGAAATATATCATTTTTTTACAGACTGGGGGGGTCGTAACATTTTTTATATATTATTTTTAAATATATTTTTTTCATTTTGTTTCAATCCAAATACAAAACTAGTAGGGCGCTTGGCATCGTGCCTTAAGGCAAATTGCTGGAACTTCCCGTACCGTAATGAAATATTCGTGAAATTTTAAACGTTTTCAAATATATTATTACAAATACTGTAACTTTCATTATTTTTGCTATCTTGTTATATCTGAGCAAATCAAATGTAAATCATAAATCAATTTATCTCCAGAACATTAACAATCGTCATGTCATTTCAAATTCAATTTAAAAAAAAATAGTTGCCTAATTTACACAAAATTGAATAAGTGCTCCCTTATAATCAACAGTCTAAACGCATTTGCAACTAATTCTGTGCGACATTTTCACTTATACTGTGCTTAGCTTGGCGGCATTTTCACATTTTTCAAAAGTTTTCACAAAATTGGAAAAGTGCTTTAGTTCAATACATAAACAGTCTAAACGCACTTGCGGAAACATTTGTACCAGAGTGGCGCTTAGACTGTGCTTAGCCTGGATATTTTTGTGAATTTTTTTTAATCCAAAATTACAAAAACATTTTATGGAAAATAAAAAAAGATATAATAATTTTTTATCCTCAAAAGCAATTGTTTTGTCAATACAAGCAGAAAGTTTTTTGAATCATTCAAATCAGATGCTTGGTTCACTCAAAAACTAATTTTTTTTGCATATTTAGCTCGGTATCTTCAAAACGGCTGGACCTGCCTTTGCCAAAATCTAATCACCACTTCTCCCCGTCATTTTGAATTGAATCATTTGTTCGTTTTTTAGATCATTTGGATTGGATGCACCGTTCTCTCAAAAACATCCATTTCTATTTTCTGCACTCTTTGCTCCATATCTCCGAAACGGCTGGACTTGCCTTTGCCAAAAACTAATCAGCACATCTCCCTATCAATAGGAATCGAATGTTTTTTGAACCATTCAAATCTGTTGATTTGTGCGCCCGAAAACGTGGACGAAAAATTGTATCCATACATGCACACATACACACACATACATCCATTTTTTCTGAGGTATGCCAAAATGTTCAGAAACCTTCAAAACGTCGACAAATGCAAAAAATTTCAATTTCGATTTTTGGACGATTACAATAACTTACCCTACGGGAGGTTAATAACTTTCTAAATAAAAAAAACAAAAATCATTATGAACAAAAATTAATTTTAATCTGAAACGTTGAATAACAAAATAAATATTTATCTATTTAAAAGAAAATACAAAAATTTATTTTAACTGCTATATTTAAAATGGGCCTTGTCCTCCAATTTCTTGCCTCTGGCATGAAAATTAATTTCTTTTCTCCGGTGGACATATCCACCGGGATTCTTGTTATTCTGTGATAAATAAAAATTAGTCGAATAAAATAAAAAATTATAATAAATAATAAGTTATCAAAAATAAATTATTATGTGTTGTTTATAAAATTAAAAGTAGTTTTGCTTTTAAAAATAAAAATTGTATCGAATACATTGCAGTCCTAATGGGTATTACTGTTGAAAGACTTTGCAGTAAAACCAAGCAAAATTTACTTTTGCGTCTTAAGGGACACAACTGGTCATATTTTTATTATACCTTTTTCTATATTTTTTTCTATATTTTCGGTTATACCTTTAAAAATAACATACTAAAATTTTAAATCGATATCTTAAATAGTTTTTGAGTCACAGCCATTTAAAGAGTATATATATAGTACATACATAGTATAACGATCATTCTTTAAACGCATTTTTTTCGAAACAGCATTTTCCGAATTTGCTGCAGCTATTACTCAAAAACAAATGATCCGATCACTATCAAATTTTTTTTACATGTTCTATATATAGTTCTCCGTAAAATAAACTATCGATTTTTTGATCGGATCAAAACTCGAATTTCGGCAGTCGAAAAACGACGAAGATTTTGGGGAAAATTCGACTTTTTTTTAAAAAAAACGCAGATATTTTGTCAATTTTTAATTTTTCTATCGTAGTTCATTTTACAGACAATTTTATCTAGTTTAACGAGAATTTTTTTTAAAATATTATTCACGTAGAAGGCCGGAATTACTGCAGCAGTGAAGGGCCTTTATTTGTCGCGCCGTTGGTGATCGACGATAACTTAAAAAATATTTAGTTTTTTTCTTCAAAAATTTTACTATGTATTCTTAAAACATGTATAAATATAATCCTAAAATTTTGAAATGATTGATAAAGTAATTTTTTTAATATAAATTCCCAAAAATCACCCTTTTTAGGCAGTTACACTAGTTGTGCCCTTTAAGTGACAAAAGTTATTTAAACTATGATTTTCGAATTTAATAAATTATCCATGATTAGAATGGTATCAACAAATAAAAGTATAGAAATTTTGTGATTCTTACTATTTACCTCGTAATAATAAGGAACATACTCTCCCAGCCAAACTTTCCTCACCGCACGGTAATTGCCGGAACAAAATACCATTATTGTTCCGAACAATTCTTCGGGAGGGAGATGTTTCTCATCTTTGTCTATATCTACGAAATGATTTGCTTTATTGATTATATTGTTTTCATTAAGTATTTCAATTTAAAAATAATTGCTCACCATCTGCAGGACGATTATCAATTTCCAAAACAAGACCATCATCCATCGATATTAAATTCTGGCTTGTGTCTTCCCTTGTTCGGGATTGTGATGAAAGCCTTAATTTTTAGAAAAAAATAAATTGCTCTAGTTAAATATACATACTAACATTTTATATACAAGCAATAAATTTTTTCAAGATCCATATTTAAAGAAGAAAAATTGTTGTCACCTAGTGCATATAATAGATAATTGTTTTTACAAACAAATTTTAATATTGTCTGTCTGTTCTTATTAACCTTCCGTAGGGTATGTTATAGTAATCGCAAAAAAAATCGAAAATAAAATTTTTTATATACCTTCACGTTTCAAAGGTTTCTGAACATTTTGGCATACCTTATAAAAAATTGATGTATGTGTGTGCGGATACAAATTTTCGTTGACGATTTTGGGAACAAAGATCAACCGATTTCAATAATTCAAAAAACATTCGATAAGGAGACGTACTGATTAGTTTTTGGCAAAGGCAGGCCTAGCCGTTCCGAAGATACGAGACAAAAAGTGCCAAAAACGATAACTCAGTTTTTAAGAGAACGGAGCGTCCGATTTCAATAATTCAAAAAATATTTTACTTGTATTGACACGATGAAAAACTGATTAAATCTTTGGAAAGGCAGGTCTAGCGGTTTCGGAGATCTAGTAAAAATAATGAAAAAAATGCCATTTACAGTCAACAATAATCATTACATTTATGCACATCAAATTATCAGGCATTTTATGGAGATTTTTATAATGTGTAATAATTTTTATTACATTTCTATGGGTTCCGTAACGTTGTTTATCCGTTAAATGGCGACGCGGCGCTTACGCGCTTCGATATTTTGTCTATGCTGCTAAACCAGTGCGATTGCTTTAAAAAAAAGTTCCAAAATATTTCAAAATAAAAAAAAATAGATCTATAAATTTAAAACTTCTCAAAAATCTAATTTTTTCAAAGTTTAAAAAAAAATCTTTTTTGAAAAAATTATTTTTTTGGGTACGGGAAGTTCCAGCAATTTGCCTTAACGCACGATGCTATATACAACTTGTTAGAGTTTTGCTTATTAGCTTCCCGTAGCAAGTGGGGGTATTCTAGTGTAGAGCAATGAATTTTAGGTCATGTTTAAAGTATCGTAAAACAAAAGTAATGAATGTTTTTACTATTCATTTTTTACCACTTGTTTATCAATATTATTGAAATTAAATACAAAAATTAAAAAACAAAAAATTGAAAATTGAAGAAACTGGCAGCTGATGAAGTAGGGGGTCTCAAAAATTTTGCACCTCCGTCTTGACATGATTTCGACCCTCCTAGCCATCCGAAATAAAATAAATAAAAAGATTATTAATCTACAATGATGTCGCAATCGCCCGAACTAGCGATGATAATTTTTTTTTTACAAATTGGCGACTGTTTGAAAAAAAGTGTCTTGTTTACTGTTTTTTTGAGTTTCTCGAATTTTTTAAATATAGTGAAAATTGGAATTTGGGGATGATGCTAGTTCGGGCTACAGATAGGTCTATAAACAAGACTCTCTAAACATTTCAAGTGAATCGGTTGAGTAGAACTCGAGAAATCGTGTCAACAGTACTGAAAAAGTCTGTTCTGAGAAAAACGCATTTAAAGTTTTTTGCTGTCAAAGTCATAAAATGATATGTTATACTTCTTTTATTTGATTTTTCATTCCTGCTTCATGCATCGGACCTTCTTCTACTTCAAAAAAAAACTATTTTCTGCATTTCTCTATTCAAATCGAGCAGTTCTAGCCTCCTTTGAAACGTTGGATGTACGTATTTCAGATCGTTCAATTCGGGCCTTGTCTCGTCTTACAGCATATGAATGAGTTTCTCACCCAATTTGCATTACCATAAGGGTCATCATTTTTAAAATCGGAAAGGAACCTTCATTGAATATGCAAACAGCAATAAATGTTGCTTTTCAAATACCCGAGATCGGGAATTAATATGTTTCGGCGCGAAAATCCAAATTATTGTTCTGAGTTTCTGAACCTAAACATCGAATTAATAATTCATCTGACGATAAACTGTCATAAATTGGTCTAATGACTTCATAATGCCTTTTGTCTGATTAGACTCCAAACCAGATTGGAGACCGGCCTATATCTCTAAAAATAATACAAATTTTCAAAAACCTTCTCGTACCCATATTCTTAGATAGTTAACTTTGAAAATATGAAACAAAAAAAAAAATATTTTTAGAGATATAGATATAGAGATTTTTTTTTGAGTTTCTATACTAGAACACCCCCTTAAAATAACGGCAAAAAACTTTTGGTATTTCTTAGAAAAAAATGTGCGTGTGCGTGTGTGTGCATACGGGCGGATACAAATTTTCGTCGACGATTTTGAGAGCACGAATCAATTTGAATGATTCAAATTTATTTTCTTGCATTAACGAAATGAACAATTGTTGAAATTTTTATAAAGGCAGATTCAACGATTTCGGAGATTTTGGCATACCTTAATATTTTGGATCATTCATTATTTACATACCTGGTGACTGGGTGTTCAATTATAAGGGTCTCCTGGCTCTCGCCTGAACTTGGATCTTTTTCCCTAAAAATTAAATAGATAGACATTTTCATAATTTTCACTACCAAAAACAAGCTTAAAATAACGGCAAAAAAACATTTGGCATTCCTTAGAAAAATGTACGTATGCGTGTGTGTGCATACGTGCGGGTACAAATTTTCGTGGACGATTTTGAGAGCACGGATCAATTTGAATGATTCAAATTTATTTTCTTGCATTAACGAAATGAATAACCGTTGAAATTTTTATAAAGGCAGATTTAACTATTTCGGAGATTTTAGCATACCTTAGTTTTTTGGATCATTCATTATTTACATACCTGGTGACTGGGTGTTCAATTATAATAGTATCCAGGCTGTCGCCTGAACTTTGATCTTTTTTCCTAAAAAATAAATAAATAGACATTTTCATAATTTTCACTACCAAAAACAAGCATAAGAGAGCGTTGTCATGACAACGTTATTTTATGAGCTATGTTACGGCAAAATTGCCCCACAAATTATCACATAATTTAATAATAAGTACAAATTATATTAGTATCTAAGTAAGTAATTATAACGTATAGTAATGATAATAATTTTCAGATTTTCAAGAATCCTTTGAAATGAAGAAAAGACACAACTAGAGTAGAAGCACTTAGGACAAGTAAATATTTACGAAATGAGTTAAATATTGACAACTTGGAAGAAAAAGGTAACTAAAAGTGTTAATATTTTTTTTGACATACCCATATAAAGTTTCTTTGTCAAATGTGACAATCAACGACTTGTAGTCGGTTGTTCTGAAACTAACAATTCCATCAATTAAATACTTTAAAAAGAGTCTTCAAGATCGGCACCGATTCTACCGCATAACAGAAAAATGTTATGGAAAGGCCATGTTACGGTCCAAGTTCCATACATTATACTACTGAATCATACTGAATACTGCCAAAATGTCATGTATTTGCTGTGCATTCAGGCGTTTTACACATAAACTGCAACGTCACTTGTATGTTATGAAGGTGGGTTAGAAACACCATGTTATGTAAGATAGTTTTTTTGATATTTATGCGGTTTCTACGTAAGGTTTTTTTATTGACAACCAGGGAAATACGCCTGACTGCACTGCAACCACATGGCTTTTGCAATGTTTAGTACGAATTTGTATGGAAAGTTCTTCATAACATAGCCTTGCCATAACATTTGTCTGTTATGCAGCAGATTCGGTCCCACATTATAGTATATATAACATTAAATTTTTTATACATATCTTGTGACCGGGTGTTCAATAATGATGGTGTCCTGGCTTTCGTTCGAATTTGTCAGACTGGATGAAAGTTGCTCCGATTCTGATATTCTTTGAATTATACACATTTACAAATTTTATTCATAATTCTTGATTTTTTTTATATTTATAGTGCAAGTTCCATACATTATGCTACTGAATCATACTGAATACTGCCAAAATGTCATGTATTTGCTGTGCATTCAGGCGTTTTACACATAAACTGCAACGTCACTCGTATGTTATAAAGGTGGGTCAGAAGCACCCTGTTATGTAAGATAGTTTTTTTGATATTTGTGCGGTAGGTTTTCTATCTGAGAAATACGCCTGACTGCACGGCAACCACATGGCTTTGTCAATATTTTGAACGAATTTGTATGAAAAGTTCTTCATAACATAGCCTTGCCCATAACATCTGTCTGTTATGCGGCAGAATCAGTCCCATAATATAGTATAAATAAAATTCAAATTTTATTTTGAAATTGCAACTTAGCAACTATTTTTTACATACCTTGTGACCGGGTGTTCAATAATGATGGTGTCCTGGCTTTCGTTTGAATTTGTCAGACTGGATGAAAGTTGCTCTGATTCTGATATTCTTTGAATTATACAATATACTATTTTATTCATAGTTCTTGATTTTTTTATATTTCTAGTCCAAGTATCATACATTATGGTACTGAATCATACTGAATACTGTCAAAATGTCATGTATTTGCTGTGCATTCAGGCGTTTTACACATAAACTGCAACGTCACTCGTATGTTATGAAGGTGGGTCAGAAACACCCTGTTATGTAAGATAGTTTTTTTTGATATTTGTGCGGTTTCTACATTAGGTTTTCTATTTGACAACCTGAGAAATACGCCTGACTGCACTGCAACCCCATGGCTTTGGCAATGTTTAGTACGAATTTGTTTGGAAAGTTCTTCATAACTTTGCCCATAACACTTGTCTGTTATGCGGCAGAATCGGTTTTATATAGTATATATAAATTTAAAATTTTATTTTCAAATTGCAACTTATTAGCAACTATTTTTTACATACCTTGTGACCGGGTGTTCAATAATGATGGTGTCCTGGCTTTCGTTCGAAGTTGTCAGACTGGATGAAAGTTGATCTGATTCTGATATTCTTTGAATTATACAATTTACAATTTTATTCATAATTTTTGATTTTTTTATATTTTTAGTCCAAGTTCCATACATTATGCTACTGAATCATACTGAATACTGTCAAAAAGTCATGTACTTGCTGTACATTCAGGCGTTTTACACATAAACTGCAACGTCGCTCGTATGTTATGAAGCTGGGTCAGAAACACCCTGTTATGTAAGATAGTTTTTTTTATATTTGTGCGGTAGGTTTTCTATCTGACAACCTGAGAAATACGCCTGACTGTACGGCAACTCCATAGCTTTGTCAATATTTAGTACGAATTTGTTTGAAAAGTTCTTTATAACATAGCCTTGCCCATAACATCTGTCTGTTATGCAGCAGAATCAGTCCCATAATATAGTATAAATAAAATTCAAATTTTATTTTGAAATTGCAACTTAGCAACTATTTTTTACATACCTTGTGACCGGGTGTTCCATAATGTTGACGTCCTGGCTTTCGTTCAAATTTGTCAGACTGGATGAAAGTCGCTCCGATTCTGATATTCTTTAAATTATACAATATACAATTTTATTCATAATTCTTGATTTTTTTATATTTCTAATAATACATACCCCCACATTATTTCCTCTTCGGGTCCACCCATCGACTCTCGAAACAATCGTCTATTGACATAATTAACAAAGAAATATTATTGATATAGAAAAGTATTTCTAAGGCATTTTAAAAAGTATATTCAATCTTTTATTCTAAATTTTAGATTTATTAACTTCCCGTAGGGTAAGTTATAGTAATCGCAAAAAAATCGAAAATGAAAATTTTTATATATCTTTACGTTTCAGAGGTTTCTGAACATTTTGGCATACCTTAGAAAAAATGGATGTATGTGTGTGTGTGTGTGTGTGTGTGTATGTATGTATGTATGTATGTATGTATGTATGTACGTGTGTGTATGTATGTGCGGATACAAATTTTCGTCGACGATTTCGGGAACACGGATCAACCGATTTGAATAATTCAAAAAACATTCGATTCGTATTGATAAGGAGACGTGCTGATTAGTTTTTGGCGAAGGCAGGTCTAGCCGTTCCAAAGATACGGGGCAAAAAGTGCCGAAAACGGTAACTCAGTTTTTAAGAGAACGGAGCGTCCGATTTAAATAATTCAAAAAACATTTTACTTGTATTGACAAGATGAAGAATTGATCAAATTTTCATGAAGGCAGGTCTAACGGTTTCGGAGATCAAATGAAAAAGTAAAAAAAAATGCCATTTGGCGGTCAAAAATGATCATTAGACATATGCACATCAAATTATCAGATATTTTATAGAGATTTTAACAATAAGTATGAATTTGGTTTACAGTTCTATGGGTTCCGTACCAATGTTTACGCGTTAGGCGGCGACGCGGCGATTACGCGCTTTGATATTTCGTCTTTATGCAGTTAAAGCAGTACGATTGCTTTGAAAAAAAGTTTAGATCTTCCAAAATATGTCACAATAAAGAAAATATTTTTTTTTCAAAAAAAAAAAAATTAAAATTTTATTTTCAAAAAAAATTTTTTTTTTCGAAAAAAAATTTTTTTTCAAAAAAAAGTAATTTTTTGTCCAATTTATAGTTTCTCAAAAATCTTATTTTTTTAGAGTAATTTTTTTTCAAAATTGTTAATCGTTTTTTAAAAAAAAATAATTTTTGGATACGGGAAGTTTCAGCAATTTGCCTTAAGGCACGATGCCTTAATTGCCTTAAGACAGAATTCCACTTACAGCTAGTTTGTATATTTAATGATTAATACAAACCTTGGCGTTGATCGCTTTTCAGCTATTTCCATTGCGCGATTTTCTTCTGTTTTACGAGAAATTCGCCCACTGAAAATATCAACAATGTATAATTGATATAGAAAGGCATTTTAAAAAGTATATTCAATCTTTTATTCTAAATTTTAGATTTATTTGTATTTTTTAGTGATTAATACAAACCTTGGCGTTGATCGCTTTTCAGCTATTTCCATTGCGCGATTTTCTTCTGTTTTACGAGAAATTCGCCCACTGAAAATATTAACAATGTGTAATTGATATATAAAGGCATTTTGAAAAGTATATTTAATCTTTTATTCTAAATTTTAGATTTATTTGCATTTTTTAATGATTAATACAAACCTTGGTCCTGATCGCTTTTCAGCTATTTCCATTGCGCGATTTTCTTCTGTTTTACGAGAAATTCGCCCACTGAAAATATTAACAATGTATAATTGATATATAAAGGCATTTTGAAAAGTATATTTAATATTTTATTCTAAATTTTAGATTTATTTGTATTTTTTAATGATTAATACAAACCTTGGCCTTGGTCGCTTTTCAGCTATTTCCATTGCGCGATTTTCTTTTGTTTTACGAGAAATTTGCCCACTGAAAATATTAACAATATATAATTGATATAGAAATCCCAATCCTCTTATCCCAATGATTGGGATAAGAGGTGATTATATTTTAGCAAAGGCAGGTCCAGCCATTTCAAAGATTCAGAGCTAAATGTGCAAAAGATGACAGTTTTTGAGAGAACTAAGCGTCCGATTTTAATTACTTATTCAAAGAACTTTTTGCTTGTTTTAACAAAATAATTGCTTTCGGAAGAATTTTTTTGTTTCTAATTTTTTGTTAAAAAAAAATTTGTTTTTGTATATCGAAAATAATTCAGATTTTAATTTTAATTCTGTTCTAATATACCAAACAAATAATTTCAACTTTGCAATTTAGTTTATATAATTCTTATAAATATTAGACCATGTTACAATATTTATAAAAATCTATTTGAAAATCTATTTAATATTTCTCGATCATTTCGTTACGGTACGAGAAGTTCCAGCAATTTGCCTTAAGACACGAAGCCATACACCACTAGTTTGAAGTATATTAGAGAGCTTTAGAACTTTAGCCAGAATTAAAATTCAAATCCGAATTATTTTGGATATTCAAGAAAAAATATTATGTGAAGATAAGAAAAAAAAAATTGAAAAAAAGTTTTTTTTTCAAAAGCAATCGTTTCATCAACACAAGCAAAAAGTTTTTTGAATCATTCAAATCGGATGCATAGTTCTTTTAAAAACTGCCATTCTTTGCACATTTTGCTCGGTATCTCCGAAACGGCTGGACCTGCCTTTGACAAAAACTAGTCATCTCTTCTCCCAATCATTACAAATTGAATGTTTTTTGGATCATTCATTATTTACATACCTCGTGACTGGGTCTTCAATTATAATGGGCTCCTGTCTGTCGTTTGAACTTGGATCTTTTTCCCTAAAAAATAAATTTTAATTAATATTACACAATTCTCAAATAAACGAAGAAAATTTATTACAAAGTTGTTTCCGAAAAATAAAAGGTTTTAGATTTGTTAAAAGTTTCATTTGTTGAATAGAATCGAAAATAATATTGAAGTAAAACTTCTTTAGGCGCGACTAGAGTGTAAATCCGTACAAATGCAACAGAAGTGCGTTACGGCAGATAAGGGTTGTCATTCGCTCTCGATGATATCATTTCTATACGGGTCGATTGTGATTAGTCGTCGTGTATGTGAATAGAGATCTGTCGTTGTATGCGTACCGGCATCAACGTTGTATGCGTACCGATATCAACAAGGAAATCGGCATAGACAAATAAACATTTTAAAGTTACATCGTAGTACAAATATTGATTTAATGAAAAATGCCTGAGTGAGAAGAATATTTTACCCTGTTCGTTAAAAATAATAAAATAAATTAAACTCTTGTGCCGTGTACTAAACGTAACTTTATTGGTTAGACATGTTTTCTATATTATTCGTAGTTTCTATAAATCTTTGAAGTTATTAAAATGGAAAATATTTTTTACACAAGACAGATATTACAGCTGTTCAAAGAATGAGATTATATCGCCAGCGAAAAAGTAAAAAAAATACAAGCAGTCAATGAATGTATGTTAATTTTAATTACGTGAAGTTCTTCAAACACAATTGCATGTTGAGTTAAATTGTGAAAACAATATTTCTTTTGGCGTCTTAACATAATCCGATGTGTGAACGATTATTATAGAATTTATTAATCAGCAATTACTTCATTTCTCTAATGAAGGTTCGAATCCTAAATGCTAATTACAATGACAAACCGATCATATCATATTAGAAGTATGACTTTAATTACATTATTGTTTTTAAATATTATACATATTTTTAATGCTATTATAAATATATAATTTATAATTTATCATTATATAAATGTGTATAATGGTTGACACTAATATAAATGTGTGCATCACGAGTGTTACCATATTACTTATAAACATTGTTAAAAATTGTTATATGTTGTATTAAATGTCATCTTGTACAGTAGCAAATAAGTTTTACTTCAATCGTTTGTGAACCATACGCACACTCTTTTTTGTTTAGGATTCTCTCTTAGGAATGGTATCGATCCATCCGCTTTTTGTCAAGAAATTTGCCATAAATGAAAGGTATATGATAAAGGAAAATTAAACGAACTAAAAGGTTCGAATGAAAAAATAAACGATTATGGTATAAAACTGATGTGAAAGGAATGGAGAATTGAAATCAAAACATTGCGAGATATATTAATATATTATACATTATCTGTAAGTAATTTTTTTTAATTAAATTTTTATACATACGTAGATTTAGCTCCTTCTTCGATGTTTGGTTCTTCGCGCCAATAATGCGAATGAAGCCTTCGAGACACTCCTTCTAATGGTGTTCCTACAAAAAGTGTTCTTGTCGCCCTTGAACTAAAATTGTTTAATTGTTATATTAAAGGAAAAAGTATGTATGTGTCGAGTCATCATTTACACAATTAAAATGTGCAATTTTTTAACTATTGTCAGGCACAGCTTTGCTATAAAATTTTATTTTTATAATAAACAATTAATCTGAAAATTAAATTTTGAGTAGGACATAGATTGAGAATGAATTAGATGTTAAATAAATATACATATATATATAAATATATATATATACTAGGTGGCCCGACATACGTTGTCCTGTAATATATATATATATATATATATATATATATATATATATATATATATTCAATAGATAAGTCCTGGATTTTTTCAATATATTGATTGTTTCTTTTCCGAACAGTAAATCCAATAATAAAAAACAATTTGTTTTTAAAGATGTTTAATAACGACGTTTCGGAACTAGATACGTTCCATCATCAGTAATTTATATATCCATATCACTAATATTTTTTGTTAAAAACACTCGATTTTTTCGAGGATATTTGTAATGTTGCGACTTCACAAGACTTAAGTTACTTCAGTGTGTTAAAGTCTTGTGAAGTCGCAACATTAAAAATATCCTCGAAAAAATCGAGTGTTTTTAATTAGTGATATGAACAGGGCCGGATTTAGAAATTTGGCGCCCTGGGGCACTGACAAAAATGCCGCCCCTTCCCTAAATTTTTACTTAAATCAGTTTATATATATATCATTTTTCTAGAATTAAAATAACTATTTGATTGCAGAACATTTATTACGCATTACATAGTGTAAATAGTGGTGCTTGGCATCGTGCCTCAAGATAAATTGCTGAAACCGTACCAAAAATTAATATTTAAAAAAAAATTAAAGCGATCGGCCTGGCTTAGCAGTAAAATAAAGAAGCGCGTAAGCGCCGCCTCGCAGAATAACAGATAAATAATTTTACAGAACCCATAGAAATGTAACCAAAATTTATATTATTGAAATATCTGATAATTTGATGTGCATATGGTTAATGATCATTTTTGACCGCCAAATGTTTCTCTTTCAAATTTTTTTATTGGATCACCGAAACCGCTAGACCTGCCTCCCACAAATTTAATCAGTTCTCCATTTTGTCTCCATATATGTAAATTTCTTTGAATGATATTGGACGTTTCATTTCTCAAGAAATGAATTATTATTTTTGGCATTTTGGCCCGTATTTCCGAAACAGTTGGACCCGTCTTGGCCAATAACTAATCAGCACGTCTCGCTATCAATAGAAATCAAATTATTCAAATAAAATTTAATTTTAATAAGTTTAATAAATGAAACTTAATAATTTTCAAAAAATTTCGAAATATAAAAAAAAAGTTTTTTTAAAGTCAATGTTTATCATTTTCAAAAAATTTTAAAGCTTTTTATAACATGTAAATTGTCGTAAGGCACAATACCATGCGTCACTAATTTAATTTTTTTCTGCGCCATGAGCTTGGAAGTGCACAAATTTGTCATATTAAGATGGCTCGAGATCTGAAGAACATATTTTTCTTAAACTTTCAACTCACTTACGAATCTTTATATTAGCAAAATTGCTAAATTTTGCTAATAAATTTGTATAATTTTTTGTTAATTATATTTCTTGAAATTAAAAATGTTATTAAAAAAATGAGTTAATTATATGGTAAAGAATTTTCTTCTCACTATCTAAATTTTGCCGCCCCCAAAAATTTGCCGCCCTGGGCAGTGGCCCCGACTGCCCCTACTGTAAATCCAGCACTGGATATGAATATATAAATTATTACAGAATAAACCTGATGATGGAACGTATCTAGTTCCGAAACGTCGTTATTAAACATCTTCAAAAAACAAATTGTTTTTTATTATTGGATTTACTGTTCGGAAAAGAAACAATCAATATATATATATATATATATATATATATATATATATATATATATATAGGCACATATAATTTGCGGATACTAGAAATCAAAATAAGATTCTTTGCTGAAGAAACCATACCTCTAAAATGAATTCTGATGTCCCGTGCATTGACCCAAAGATAGGGACTAAATTTTGAAAAATTCCGTTTTAATCCATTTAAAGTGCTCCAATCGCGTCCAAATGTATGACAAACCCCAACTAACTTTGGAAGGCCGATCCACCTATCATCAGATGAATTAATATCTGAAAAAAATGTTTAAAAAAAAAAACATTTTTTGCTGAGTAAAATACCAAAAACGATGATTTTTTGCAATATTTGTATGGAAGACTTCTAAGGGGAGGTCCCAGGGGGTGAACCATGGGCATGGGTAGATCGGCCTTCCAAAGTTACTGGGGGTCGGTCATACATTTGAACATTATTGAGGCGCTTTAAATGAGCCAAAAACAGGATTTTTTACAATTTGACCCAATCTTTGACCCAATGCACGGGACATCAGAATTTATTTTAGAAATATGGTTTCTTCGGCAAAGTATCTTATTTTGATCCCTAGTATACGAATATCATATGTGCCTATGTGACTTTTTTTACCCATACAAATCGACCCGCCCTAATATATATACATACCTTCCTGCCGATTGTTGAATTTCTTCAGCTACCGGAACTATTTCTCCTTCAGCATTTAGACTTTCATTGTTACCCATTTTAATCCTGAAAGTAGCGATATACTCTGAAAGCAATATTTGATATAGCAATTTATTAAATATTAAACTAGTGGTGCATGGCATCGTGCCTTAAGGAAAGTTGTTGGAGCTTCCAATAACTTCTCATATAAATGTAAACAAAAATTGTAATAATTATTAAAATCTATATAATGTCTGATGATTTGATGTACATATGTCTAATGATCATTTTTCACCGTCAAATAGATTTTTAACTTTCCGTAGGGTAGTTATAGTAATGGGCCGAAAATCGAAAATGAAAATTTTTGGATTTCTCCACTTTTTGAAGGTTTCTGAACATTTTGGCATACCTCAGAAAAAATGGATGTGTGTGTGTGTGTGTTTTGTATGTGCGCATTTTTTCGTCCACGTTTTCAGGCGCACGGATCAACCGATTTGAATGGTTTAAAAAAACAGTCGATCCCTATTGATAGGGAGATGTGGTGATTAGTTTTTGGCAAAGACAGGTTCCGCTATTTCGAAGATACAGAGCTAAATTTGCACAAAATGGCAGTTTTTGAGTGAACTAAGCGTCCGATTTGAATGATCTAAAAAACTTTTTGCTTGTATTGACAAAACAATTGCTTCTGAGGATAAAAAATTATTACTTTTTTTTATTTTCCATAAAATATTTTTGTAATTTTGGATTAAAAATTCAAAAAATTACCCAGGCTAAGCACAGTCTAAGCGCTACCCTGGTGCAAATGTTTACACAAGTGCGTTTAGACTGTTTATGTAATGGAGCGCTTTTCCAATTTTGTGAAATCTATTGAAAAATGTGAAAATGCCGCCAAGCTAAGCACAGTATAAATGAAAATGTCGCACAGAATTATTAGCAAATGTTTTGTGAAAACTGTGACTATACGGGAGCACTTTTTCAATTTTGTGTAAATTAGGCAACTATTTTTTTGAAATTGAATTCGAAATGAAATGACGATTGTAAATATTCTGGAGATAAATTGATTTATTTATGATTTACATTTGATTTGCTCAGATATAACAAGATAGCAAAAATAATGACAGTTACATTATTTGTAATAATATATTTGAAAACGTTTAAAATTTCTCGAATATTTCATTACGGTACGGAAAGTTCCAGGAATTTGTTTTTAGGCACGATTCCATACACCTCTAGTTTAAAGATTAATTTGTGCCGAGAACTCTAAATTCGAGTGCAATTGTATCCAGTAAAATTAGCGCTTATGTAAAAACACCGAAAATACCGGATTTTTAAGATAAATACCGGTATGAATACCTCCGAAAATTTGGGCGGTATACCAGTATTGCATTACCTATACAGATTCTGTATACGATTTTAGAGAATTTGAAGAGAGAAAATTGTATGTAATTACAATTTGTTGTAGGAGAATTTAAAAACCGAAACCAAATATTTTCAATAACGTTTGATGCAAATATCAGCCCTATATCTATCTCTGTACCTCTGGCAACAAGAGCATTTGCTGCTGCTTATTTGTTTTTGGTAAAGATCGGCTGTGCCGTTTCTTTGTGACTCTTAAAAATATTACGGTCATACAAGCCGTTCAACTTCGAAAATTCATTAAAAGTTGAAAAAATGAGCGGCGTAGTCTTACGATCGTTCCATTATCCGAAATGCGATTAAACTATAAAATTTATTGATGTTGGGAATAGTGGAACACGTTTTTAGGACATGAACGGACGTGTTTGTGCACTAAAATTAATAGAATTATAGATATTATAATACTGTTCGAAAGATATCAATTGGAAATCGCAATGTTTACTTGTTGGCGAAAGCGGAAACTTTATTTTGGAAATGAACAGTTAAAATCTCGATTCTTATTCAATATGTCCTGACTTTCCTGAAGGCAAAATGCCACTAACAGCAAATTTACGTAAAGTTTTATTAACTTCCCGTAGGGCAAGTTATAGTAATCGCAAAAATATCGAAAATGGAAATTTTTGCATTTCTCGACGTTTCAAAGGTTTCTGAATATTTTGGCATACCTTAGAAAAAATGGATGTATGTGTGTATGTGTGTGTGTGTGTGCGTGTGTGTATGTATGTGCGGATACAAATTTTCGTCGACGATTTCGGGAACACCGATCAACCGATTTGAATAATTCGAAAAACATTCGATTCGTATTGATAAGGAGACGTGCTGATTAGTTTTTGGCGAAGTCAGGTCTAGCCGTTCCGAAGATACGGGGCAAAAAGTGCCGAAAACGGTAACTCAGTTTTTAAGAGAACGGAAAGTCCGATTTTAATAATTCAAAAAACATTTTACTTATATTGACAAGGTGAAGAACCGATCAAATTGTCATAAAGGCAGGTCTAGCGGTTTCGGAGATCTAATGAAAAAAGTTAAAAAAAATGCCATTTGACGGTCAAAAATGATCATTAGACATATGCACATCAAATTACGAGATATTTTATAGAGATTTTAACAATAAGTATAATTTTGGTTTACATTCCTATGGGTTCCGTACCAATGTTTACGCGTTAGACATCGACGCGGCGCTTACGCGGTTTGATATTTCGTCTTTATGCAGTTAAAGCAGTACGATTGCTTTGAAAAAAAGTTTAGATCTTTCAAAATATGTCAGAATAAAGAAAACATTTTTTTTTTCACAAAAAAAAAATTTAAAAAAAAATTTTTTTTTAAAAAGTAATTTTTTGTCTAATTGTTTGTCAAAAATCTTATTTTTTCGAAGTAATTTTTTTTCAAAAATGTTAATCGTTTTTTAAAAAAATAATAATTTTTGGTACGGGAAGTTCCAGCAATTTGCCCTAAGGCACGATGCCTTAATTGCCTTAAGACAGAATTCCACTTACAGCTAGTTACATTTTTCATCAAATATTTACCTTGTCGTAAGCAATTGTCGATCTACTCTGTTAAGCGTGTGTGCTTGTGCGGGCGAGTGCCAAAACAAAATAATGATAAAAATTGTAGCGAATCCTTGCAGTAACCGCTTTTGATTGTAAATGGGGAAGGGATTGTAAATTTGCGTGTGGAAGGGGTGCAGAGGGCGCAGTCTAAATTTTGCGTTGGTTATTTGCAAGAACGCACATGCACACATATCCCTCCGTCGGTCGGCGTGGTCTGGCCAGACTTTTTTCGACTTCAATTAAAAAAAAAATACTTCTAGTAATCCTATCGACTTGAAATTTCTTGACTTCTCCTAAAAATTCATTAGCTGTCGATCAATGAAAAAATCAGGACGAAAAAATGTACAGAAGGATAATTATAAGGATATTAACTTTTTTATACTTCGAACGGTCGGAAAGGTCTGTCCAGACCACCCATACATTTTGTATGAAATATACGCTTTTTGATATATGTAAACCAGTATTTTGTCTTTTTTCATGGTATTTTCTATTCAAACTGCGTTGTTTATATTCTTTGCTAAGTGTTCTAACATGAATGTTAGTATTTTCATGACGAGAGTTCCTTGAAAACCTACCAAACTTATTGGTAATCGCAAACACTGAAAATCGGATGAGTAATGCACACATTCATTTCAAAGGCGCCGAAAAAGAATGAATATTGTTTTTCATTGATTTAAAAGAGAAAAATTAACAAAAAAGCAACGCAAGATATTTCTTGATTTTTTTATATAATCGTTAATACATAAGACACCAAAAACTCATTTATCCCATATAAATGCATGTAAAATGAATGGTGGTCCAGCCAGACCTTTCCGACCGTTCGAAGGTGAAAAAATATCCGACCGACGGAGGGATATACATGCACACTTACGCTCATACATCAATCTTTTCCAAGGCATGGCTCTTCTGAATTGAGTCGCTTGAATTGACGACAACTAGCTGTAGGTGACATTTTGCCTTAAGGAGCACTACTAGTGTGAAATTTTCAGAAAATCAAATATTCTTTTTTTTAATATTTCGATAGGTTATACCTTTAAAAATAATATACCAAAATTTTAAATCGATATCTTGAATAGTTTTTGAGTTACAGCCATTTAAAAAGTATACATATAGTATACTCGTATAATACAACGATCATTTTTTCATCAAACGCGTTTTTCTCGAAAGAGCATTTTCCGAATTTGCTGCAGCGATTACTCAAAAACAAAATGATCTTATCACTACCAATTTTTTTTACATGTTCTATATAGTTCTCCGTAAAATGAACTATCGATTTTTCGATCGGATCAAAAATCGAATTTTGGCAGTTCAAAAACGACCAAAATTTTGGGTAAAATTCGACGTTTTTTTAAAAAACGTCGTCATTTTGTCAATTTTTGATTTTTTTCTTTATCGTAGTTCATTTTACAGATAATATTATCTAGTTAATTTAATTTTTTTTAATTTCATCTACGTAGAGGGCCGGAATCACTGCAGCAGTGAAGGGCCTTTTTTTGTCGCGCCGTTGGAGATCGACGATAACTTAAAATATATTTAATTTTTTTCTTCAAAAGTTTTACTATGTATTCTTAAAACATGTATAAATATATGCCTAAAATTGAAATGATTGATAAAGTAGTTTTTTTAATATAAATTCCCAAAAATCATTTTTTTTTAGGCGGTTACACTAGTTGTGCCCCTTAAGTAAGGTCATCATATGTCCCGGTTTGGCCGGGACAGTCGCGAAATTCCACCTTATGTCCCGAGTTTTTTTCAAAGCAATATTTGTCCCGGATTTAAACCTTTTGTCCCAGATTGTCCCGGATTTTCGAAAAGTATTGGGCTAAATTGAATCTTTGAATTGAACCCATCAAATTGTTGAAAATGTTATTTACAACTGGTATGCTTATAAAAAAAAGCTATTTAAAATAGGTTCTCACGTTCATAATTTTGAACTTTTATTTTCAATTTTTACGAAAATTAAAAAAAAAAAGAAAATGAATTTCTTAACTGCCTGGAATAATTGTTAAGTATTTTTAAATAGTTATGAAGAAAATTGAACAAAATTTCATTATAAATTTGAAAGTTAAAAAAAAAATATAGATCCAAAACTATAAGACAATATATAGCGTATAATAAAATCGTTATTAGTAATTCTGATTAAAAAGTACTCATTTAATGAGACTGATTTTTATTGCATTCTTAAATTGTATTTGTTGTTTAAAAATCTTTTTAATTTTTTTCCCTTTCACCAACGCAAGTGCTTGTCAAATTTCATCTAATGGCTTTTAAAATTTTTGAAATCTGTTCAGCTGTTCTTGAGGCTCTTATGCACACACAGCCATACATTCACACATACTTTTTTCTAGTCTCATTCGATTCAGAATGGCTTGAAAGGTCTAGGAAACATAAATTTAGCATATCGGATTTACCCACGAAAACATAAACTTCCCCGTCGGAAAATTAATAAAAGAAACTAGTGGTGCATGGCATCGTGCCTTAAGGCAAATTGCTGTAACTTCCCGTACCAGAATTAAATATTCGAGGGCAAATATCAGTAATCAATAAATATTGATCAATGATTAATAATAATTGTTTTAAATAATTTTAAAGAGATTTTTATAATTACTATATATGTATTTGTTCGTAAAATATACATTGACGATTTTAACACTAAAAATACTTGAGAATGTTTACATTAGCAAGAGGTGCCGAATGAATTTATCTGAGGATATATTTCTTACGATTAGAATAACGAATTTGAAGTATATACATTTTCAAACTGAATTGTAAATTCAAAATTCATATTTGAAGCATAAAACTTTGTATATTTTTGAACATTTTGAAAAAAAATGTTTTCGACAAATTTTGAAATTTGCTTGAACCATATCAGTAAACTTTGAAAATTAACAATCTTGGTATTGATTGTCCAACAAAATTGTAACAAAGTTAGTACTCATTTTTAAAAAAATTATGGAATATCTGATGATTTGATGTGCGTATCTTTTACTTTTTTCTCTCTATCTCCGAAACCGCTAGACCTGCCTTTCCAAAAATTTTATCAATTTTTCATTCCGTCAATATAAGCAAAATGTTTTTGTATCATTCCAATTGGGCGCTCCGTTACCTCAAAAAACTGAATTTCCATTTTTAGCACTTTATGCTCCGTATCTCCGAACCGGCTGAACCTGTGTTTGCCAAAAACTAATCAGCACGTCTCCCCATCAGTAGAAATCGAATGCTTTTTGAATTATTCAAATCGGTTGATTTGTGGGCCCGAAATCGTGGACAAAAAATTGTATCTAAACATACATACACACACATCCATCCATTTTTTCTAAGGTATGACAAAATGTTCAGAAACCTCTGAAACGTAAAGATATGCAAACATTTTCATTATCGATTTTTTGCGTTTACTTAACTTACCCTGCGGGAAGTTATTAAATTATTTTATTTAAATGTTTGGCGGTTTTGTGTCGATCTCTGTTTTAAATTTTTAATTTTCTATGGTTTGGTAACGATACTATCTGTCGTATCTCTAATATAAATATACAAAGTGTCTATGTTTTTTTACTCTTAACCTCAACATATATCACATGGCAAATATTTTGCCTGTGTTGACAGTTCATTCAATAATTATTTTATTTTTAATGTGTTAAGAAAATAAAAACTATAGTGGTTTATTGAATAACAGTAACAAATATATTGTACATAGTGTTGAAGTATTTATTAAACGTATTAATATACGTAGCATAATTTAGCTAAACATGGCATTAGCAGGCCCCAAAAAACGTGTGTCAAAAAAATCCAAAGCTTCTTGGAGAAAGCACGTTGATATTAAAGATGTAGATGAATTTCTCGATGATAAGCGTCTTCAAGAAAGACTTGGGTAATGTAATTTTTAATGTACACTTATTATGTTAAAATGTTCTATATTTCATGTCACATTACATCAATTTCAGAAAAGAATTTTCTCTGAGAACTAATGATGAGCTATTTAAAGTCGATGAGAAACCAAGCGATGTGCAACTCAGCTCGAAGCGAAGTAGAAGATTGGCTTTGCAAAAGGCTCCTTTGAAATGTTTTGCGATGCTTGAATCACATTCAAAAGTTCCTGATCCTATCGCAAAAAGGTATAAAATAAAATAAGTCTTATTGTCATCATATTATAAATATTTTTATTATAGTCAATTGTATAAGATAACTTAATTATTCTGCTTGATGTGCTTTTAGTTTTATGCAAATGTTAATTTTTCACTGTGACAAGTCTAATATGTAAATATAAATAAATGTTCAGTATTCTCTACATTCTTCAGAAGCCGAGTGCGAACAAAATTGGAGCGACAAAAAGGTCTGGTAGATCGTTATGTTAAAGTAAAAGATAAAATCATAAAAAGGCAGCAAAAATTGATCAAAAAGGGTAAAGAAAATAAAGACCACGAGGAACAATGTGTGGCGAACATTTGGAATGAGAATGATGGTAAGTTTTTTTTTGGATTCAGAAAAATGATATAAAAAGTTCTACTTGATTAAGTCAATATTAGAGAGAAGCAGTCTGATTAAATGCAGTTGTTTAAAAGATTATTGATTAATATACTCCAAAAATGTATATAGAGTTAAATGAATATCATTTTCTTATAATACTATTTCAGATCCTTTGAAATCGATGCCAGAATGGCTGAATAAAGATTGTGTTAAACATAACTTAAGAAATTCTGGGCGTACTATTAAAACTGTACCTAAATCAGTAGTATCGAAACAGGTGTGTTAAATTCTAAAAAATTAACCAAACATAATAAGAAAATGTTTATTAATAAATATATTTCTAGGTATTTATGTCAGCTGTTGAAGCTCCTCATCCCGGAATGTCTTACAATCCTAGTGTAGCTGATCACAGAAATTTATTAAAGATAATAGTTGATAAAGAAAAAGAATTAATCAAACAAGAAGTGCATTTGAATCGTGTTACATCAAAAGTGAGTTTTGTGGTTGAAATATATATATATATATATATATATATATATATATAATTTTTTATACATTTTTTATAGTTCTTCAGAAAAGTTTCACCTTCGCAAAAAGAA